GTAAAAGAAGGAAAGGAGGTATTAAGAAATATGATTATGGTGTTTTAGGAAAGATGTGTCACATTTTTTATAATTAACTAACTTACCTAATTTCCTTAATCTAATCAAATTAGTTAAATGGGTCTTATATTAAGGATCGGAGGATTATTGTAGACTGACCTGTTGTCGGCGTGCCATTTAAAAGTGGTTATATCAATGATAAAAGATTAGATGTGGAAATCCATCAGTCACAGATTAATTGGTTGGCATAAGTCCAATTTAATAATATCCATGGTATTTAATTATTTAATACTAAATCAGTACTTAATATAAGATATAATTGACTAATTTAAAGAGATTAAGAAAATTATATAAGTTAGTCATTTGTAATAAACAACTGTTGTTTTTCCTAAAATACTCTTACTAATCATATATATATTAGTTAGGATTATCATTTGATAGAACTTTAACTTGCACAACTATTACAATGACTACTTAAAAAAATAAATATGAAAGACAAAGTGGGTTAGTGTCTTGTATTTAGGATCAAATTGAAGTCGAACAAGCTCTTTTTTTATGACCAGAAGTAGTATTATTTTTCATATATTATTTTTCTATGTAATTAAATTTGAAAAATTTTATTATATATAATTTTCAGCTAAATTAAAATTTAATCTTCAATTTACTATGGATGATATAGCTTTTATCAATCTAATAAGTAGTATTCATCGTCTTTAATATAAGAGTTAGTTGACTAATTTGAGTAGATTAAGAAAACTAGTTAAGTTAGTTATTTTTAATAAATAGGTCTTATCTTTTCTAAAATATTTCTGCTAATCGAGTGTATTCGCTAGAATTATCATTATTATAATGATTATTTTTAACAAAATAAATATGAGACGTAAAATAAATTAAGATATTATATTTAAGATAAAAAAAATCAAACAAACTTTTATAGTAATCACCGGAAGTAGTACTTGATTACCAAGAAAAAACTGGGGAAAAAAGATCAATCAGGATCTTGGGTTGCTAATGATCAAGGAGTAAGATTAAACTATTTAGAAGGGGGTCACTGAAATGACAGAATTACCCCGAGATGGGTAATACCCCATGATTTATAACGTGATTGGAATTCACGAGTCATCGTGAAACGCGACGAAGCAACTTCCCTACAGGTCGGGGCCCCAGCATCGACTTAGCGCCTGTCGGCACGATTCAGCTTGCACTGCGTCTTTCCGAAAACAGCCTGGAGCATAAAATTTCATCATTCCCCGTTTCTATTTTTGAAAATCCCAATTTATTTCCTACCGAGTTTTGATTCTGAAAACAGATATAGATATTTAGCCATTAAAATTTATCGATATTGGTTCTATATCTAAGACATATTTTATATGTTTATTATTTTTTTCAAATTAACTCTATCAGTATTCTTTCAACAATAATCAAATAGGAGAGGAAAAGAGAGAATTAAAAAAAAAAGATTACGATAATCTAAAAAATATTATATTAACTAATTTAACTGACATTTTTAATTTATTTAAATTAATTAAGCAGATTTTATATTAAAAACTAAAAGAGCATATATGATTAAGAAAGTTCCGAAATAATTGAATGACATATTAGCATATAAGAAATCAACAAAGGCTACCAACAATAAAAGTGACTCTTTCCACATTAATTGCAGCACAGAGACTATTAATAAGAGCATATGAGCAATATTCTGAAATATTTTTTCTGATACATCTAACACTTTAAAGTATTTTGTAGTGTATTTAACACCATAAAATATTTTTTAAGTGCGTTCAATATCTTAAAATATTTTTTGGTGGATCTAACACTCTAATTTTTTTATGTGTATTCAACACATTAAAATACTGAACGCACCTAAGAAGTATTTTAATGTGTTAAATGTATTTCAGAATACAAGATACATTAAAAAAATACTTCGAGCTACCTACCGAATGCATTGTAAGAAATCAACTTCTTCTTCTCATGATTAAAGTGAGCGACAACTCTTTTAATGTTCAACACAGCATAAAGATTATCAATAATACTCCTCCGATCCTTAATATAGGACCCAATTTTTAAGTTGGTTTTGGTCCTAAATATAAGACCCATTTTTCATATTTATCAATTTTCTCTAAATTACCCCTATGGATACTCCCTCAATTATAATCAAGTAGAAGAGGGAGAAGGGTATTAAGAAATATGATTATGGTGTTTTAGGAAAAATGTGTCATTTTTTTTATAATTAACTAATTTACCTAACTTCCTTAATCTAATCAAATTAGTTAGATGGGTCTTATATTAAGGACCGGATGAGTAAGACATTAACAACTTTTTGTCACAAAACTTAACATTCGGTTGAAGAATAACAACTCTTTAGGTATTCTCTGCAACACAATTTTTTAACAATAGTAGACGAGACATTAGAAACTATCACAAATATTTAACATTTCAATAGTTGAAGCGAATAATAACAACTATTTCCGTTATTCGGCGTTCACAATAAAAAAGCTACTAGCCATAACATATAAAACATTGGCCCTATTTACCATCACGATTAAAATCACCAAACACGTTTCATATAAATCGAGACAAAACTTCATTCACGTACTAACCTCGTGTTCCGTAAATTACAGTTAAAAATTATTTATAAACTATTCCAAATAGACCTATTAGCTGTTTTCTATCGCAAAACTTTCGAGTCTCCTAGTTGAAATTATTAACATCAACTCTACATACAAAATGCCTATTTCAATAAGGGACTCTATTGACAGCTTTCTATTGCAAAAATTTAATACTCCCCACTTTGACATTTTACCTTGGCGGTTAATGATTTTCACCTCTTCTTGCTATTTCATTCATATTCCTCAAAATACAAATTTTTAAATAGATCTTATTAAATTAAAAACTAAATTTATAGAATTTTTAATAACAAGTCATTTGTCCAATTTGAATTAAAATCGAGAAAATTTATATGAAAACTGGTTTTCCCCCCACAAAATTGATTTCGACCTTTCTTCTTTTGAGTCAAAATTGATTTTGTACCCTCTTAGTTCAACATTCCCGCGTTTCAAAGTTGGATTCCTTAATCAAGGGGTGTTTGGATATCCTGAAAAATACTTCTCAGAAGCACTTTTTCACAAATCGAAATAAACTCCTCCATATATTTATCTTGTAAACCGTAAAATCACTTTTGAAATTATGATTTGGTTTTCATCTAAACACTCCCAAATTAATCTCTATATTCTCTTTTTACTTTTCCCCCTATCAAGCCTAACTGCCCAACCACAAGTTTATGGAGCTGTTTAGAGTGACTTATAAATAGTTTTTCAATTATTATTTATAAAATATGAAATAAATATATGAGAAACATTTTGTTTTGGTTTACACAAAACGTATTTATAAGTAATTTGAAATGTAATGCCAAATGGAGCTATATTATTTGAAAATGAAGATGAAATCAAAGGGGGGAAAAAATGAAAACAGAACTCCATTAACCCAAAACGACTCCCCATTAACAATAAGAACTCCGTTCGGACGAATCAATGAGCTAAAAGCCTACGAAAGAGAAGGAAAGATGACAGGGAAAATCAATGAACATCGAAGTTTTTAAAGAATAAAAAAAGTCCTCATAATTTTAATAACATTTGAAGTATTCACAGCCAAAATAAAAGTGGAAAAAATTATTATTTATAACTCAATCAATGTTTTCAAATTAATTTTTTTCCAAAAGACAAGAATATATTTTTACCTGAAAAATATAAGAAGATTAATTTTATCACTGTATAATCAGAGCAAGTAATAAATCTCAATATTTCGTTATGAATGAAGTTCTTGCAATGACAAGAGTATATACGTGAGTAGAACTTGTAATATAGGTTGGACTCACGGTTTAACCTCCCAACTCGCAAAAAATGACGGGTTAGCCAATAAACGAATCTTTTTAACCTACATCGCTAGACCCACAACTTGTCATGGGCTAGCCTCCCAAGTAACTAATTGACTCGCGTTTTTTTTTAAATTATTATAATTATATCATTATATATAATATTCTATCTAAGAATTTTCTTAAAAAATCTTACATAATTTATTTAGTTCTTTCAATCAAATGTTTTAAGAAAAAACAAAGATCTCATTTTTTTTTTGGATATTGAATAAGAAAAGATATTAAAAGATAAAAAATTTAAAAAAGAGGTAAATAACTGCCAACCTGTTTTCAAACAACACTTTCAAACCCAATCCATATAGGTTCAACCTGTAGATTTGCGGATTAACCTGTATTGCCAACTCTTTATGCAGGACTTCAGAAACAACAAATTAAGCTTTTTTTTGTTGTTGTTAAACTTTTCCTCCCTTTAAGGGGCTAACTTCGTACATATTATTCTGTTAATAATACACTCTTCGTTACAAAATTTTTTTAATATAAGAGTTAATTAATTAATTTGAGTAAATTAAAAAAATTAGTTGAGTTAGTTATTTCTAATAAATAGGTATTGTCTTTCCTAAAATATATTTACTAATTAAATGTATTGACTAGAACTACTATTATTATAAGGACTGTCTGAAAAAAAAAATAAATATAAAAAATAAAATAAATTAGAGTCTTATATTTAAGATCAAAATAAAAGTTAAATAAAATCTTGTAGAGAGGAGGTAGTATTTCAAAAAAAAAGTCATAACAAAAATGCGTAGGACAGTATTGTAAATACTATGAACATACAGGGCCATTAATTTGTCCCCTCCATTGAAATCCCGCGTGGTGCATTTCCTAATTTAATTTGCTTTTCACTCCTCTTAGTTGGACTTCGGCCATCGCCACCTGTCCATCTCCGCCATCACCCTCGGCCCACTGTCACCCAATCTGAAACTTCAAATACCATAAAAATCACGTGCTTTATGGAATCCCTCCAGAACAAATAAAATAGTATAATAAATAAATAAATCCGCAATTTTAAACTCAATGATAAAGACCACATGGCCTGCTCCGTGGACTAACCCAGGTTCAAAGAACGTGCTCAGGAAACCGCCCGCCTCTTATATATGTTCTTCCCCTCCTCTTCCTCTCACACTATTCAACCATAAATTAAAGCTTCTTTCATCTTCAAACATCATTGCCATTACTGGTTATCTCTATTGTCGCCAACGATTGTCAAAGCTCTTTTATCCTGTCTTGAGAATTTTTGTGGGTTTTGATAAGAATGTCGACTTTTTCTGATACGGTGATGGATGGCCGGAGGGTCGGCAAGCCGGCCGAGAGGTCCAATTTCTCCCAGACTTGCAATCTCATAAGCCAGTTCCTGAAGGAGAAGCGTAGTTCTGGTGCTATGAGCCTTGGAATGTGCGGGAAAGTTGAACCCAAAGGTAGCTTTAATGTTTTCTTTCATCTCTCCTTTCCGGTATTTGATTTTGTTTCATGTTAATCTGTGCCTTGGCCTGTCCACCAAGTGTTCGGTTTTTTTTTTTTTTAAAAAGAATGGTGAGTATTCCTGAATCCTGACTGAGTTCTTGTTAATTTGTTTGGTTCAGGGAATCCAACTACTACGCTGGACTTGTTAACATCCCTGGAAAAATCTGATGATGCGTCGAAACAAAGTCCTTCAGCTATAGATTTTCTTCCCCAGCTTGCAGAAAACCAGTCTGTTATTAGGTGCGCTGCCATTTGTATTCTGCACGTATTCGTTACATGAGAGTACCGGTGAAATCCTTTTAGTCAGTTCAAGTTCCTAATCCTAAGAGTACTTTTTCTATCTGATTATAGTAGGTCACAGACCAAGGCAGAGCCTAAAACTCCCCAAATGGCAATATTTTACTCCGGTAAGGTATTGGCATTTGACGATTTTCCGCCAGAGAAGGCGACGGAGATCATGGAGCTAGCCACCAAGTTAAGCTGTGATAATTCTAGGATCAGCAAAAACACCCCAGGTGTTTCTGCAGCTCTTGAAAATATCAACGAGGTTAAGGTGCCTCAAACAAGCACATCCAAAGAAGTTTCTCGTCCAGGCTCTCTCGCTTCTGGTTCAGGTATTTAGCTGTCCCCTGATGATCCGAATAAAGGTCTCCTGATGGAAATTTGTTGCAATCATTAGGAAGTTCGTTACTGATTCTGGGTTTCTACTTTTGTCTAACAGATATGAGGTATCCGAGGAGAGCTTCGCTTTTAAAATTTCTGGAGAAAAGAAAAGAAAGGTAAGGACAAATTTCATGTTCTTGTGGATCTTGTTGAATGTTCACTGCGAATTCCATTTCTATATTATCTTGATAGATCTCTGATTAGAACATAATACGTGGGCAAGTTGATGCAAAAGATCAATTTATGTGAAGTCTCGTTGAAAGGAAAATTAATTCTTACATGTTTCTACTGGACATCCAAATGACAATTTAAGAATTGAAGTGATTCTACGGAAACTCAACTTTTCATTGTTCATATGTTTTGATCAATTTACTTTAGAATTCAAAGTGAAATTTTATCAGTCTGAGTGTTGGATTTGTCCTCTTATTAATAGAGGTTTTCTGAGTCAATGGTGGATTAATTAAAGTTGATTAATTTTGCAGGGTCGTTGCAAGAGGACCATATCATATGAACCCTCAGCACGAAGGAGGCAGATCTGGAGGCCACCCTGAAGAACAATCTTGCGAACCTTTTGACCTTAACTTATAGTGCTTTTATCTCATCACTTTTGGTTGATAGGATAGAAACAAAAGAAATCATAATACGACCCTTTGTTTCAAGGATCGACAACTCACTGATATTGTAGGTGTTTTACTTGTAATTTTCCCCCAAGTTTCCATACGTAAATACAGAATATTTGTACTTGTTATTCTTCAATATATTATGCAGTAGTGCCAAAGAAAATTGTTTATTTGCTCTGTCAGGGCATCTAAGGTTTATTCTAAGATTTCCGATATGATACCTTTACCTTTGATTGCATCTGCAATCTTGTAATCAAGGCGAACTCATGTTGCAACTAAAGCCTCGGCTTCTCTTGTTCATCCTTGCAAACAGTCTTTGGTGAAGATGACCTTCAGATGCAGACTTTCCTTCTTCATCATCACATCGAGCCAATCGAATTGCATTAAAAACAGCATGTGTACTTGGTTTGCAGGTTCATCAATTTAGCATAGGCTCTCCAATCCTTGTTTTGGTTGTCTCTTTCTTCAACCTTGGAATATAATCTTCTTGCATGATTCCAGTGATCATGGACTGAATCTGCCCTGCATCTGCTTCGTATTCTAATTTTACAATCATCACCTCTCCCTAATCACTATCACAACCGGCTCGCCTTCTTTCTCCTTTACATGATTCATCAGCTCAAAAAATATCTGAATTCACTTGTTTTGGTCCAGAATCATTTTCTCTAGACGAAATGTTTTTTCTCCGACAGCAAGCATGAGTTGCGTTTTAGAAGACTAGAGAATCCAGTTGTGGCAAAAAAAATTATTAAAATTCTACGACGTTTGAAAAAAAGTAAAATGAGAGGAAAGCCTAAACATCCTTTGACTGGTATTCACCATTTTAGGTTGTAAAGAAAGACTCTTTCTTTCCATCATATTGAGGTTCGGCCAAAAAAAAAAAAGGGTTGATTTCCTGAATTTTTTTTTTTTGGTTCAGACCAATGTACTTCATCATCTCATCGGCTCAGTAGTTTTCCATAGCTACCCATACCGATTTCGATCATCGTCATCTTTTCCCTATTTCTCCAACAATGCCATCACCGCCATCTTCCTTTGAACTCGCAGAAATGTTTCGTTCGTACAATTCCTACAAATTTTTTTACAGCAATTTGTGAGTGTTTGGGTACTGTAGCAAAGTGTTCAAAATAAATTCTTCCGTATATTTATTTTGTATATTATAAAAATATTTTTAAAATTATAGTTTTAATTCCATTCAAACAGCCTCGTTCTGGTTTGTGATTGATTTTTAAGTTTAATGAAGATGTGACTCTATTTATCTCCTTAGACTGAAAAAAAAAAAAGGCTCATTAGATTATAGTGCTTGTTCGCTCCCTCATTTATACTCTTCATCATGGTTTTTTTTATTTTGAGTGTTTGGATAAAGACCATAATTTTAAAAATGATTAAAAGTAAATATGTGAAGAAATTTATCTTAATTTACAGAAAAGTGTTTTTAAAAAACATTTATGAATATCCAAACACCTTTTTTATCTTCCTTTGAACCTGCGTAATTGATGGCGGCAAGGTTGAAAAAGGAGAGGGTTTCGGTTTGATTAATCATGGTTGGCGCCGAAGAAGAGAAATTTATAGGTGAAAGCAAGTTAGATTTTCATGTTTTATTTTATTTGTTGCCAAGAAAAATCTATAGCACGTGATGCTTTCATAAGTAAGTTGAGAAAAAACCTCTCTTCAAATAATTTTAGTGAAATCTTATTTTTCAAGTATTTTTCTGAGCAACAATTTCCTCACTTAGGCTGCTAGATGATATTAAAAAGATGCACAATAAAATTACTGAAATTTTTTTTTTAATAGTAAAGCTACTGAAAAACATTTTAAGAAGTTAAAAAAATCACAAATATGAAAACAGTTGGGTTAGATACCTTTGAAGAATAAAACTTTTGTTATTGGCTTATTACAGTCTGACAATGCATTTACACGTCACGTTACGGATTTTAAAAAGCTTTCCCATGTGTCATAATCTGGCCCATGCACCTGATCCAACGGTGAAATGGCCAAACTCTCTAGAATTTTACGATTCCACCCTCGAGGGGATTCTTGCCTTTTTTCCTGAAGGCCCGAATTGATGTCTCCTCTGGTTTTCTGAGGGTCTCTCTCTTTCAATCCCTCTCGTCTGACTCGAGGGCCAAACTTGGGGACCTTCTCCAACCCTAATCGGGCAATTGATCCTCTCGGAAAATCTCCCCGAAAATGCAGAATCCCAGGCTGAAGCAACACCAGCAGCAAGCTCTGATGCAACAAGCTCTTATGCAACAACAGTCTCTGTACCACCCTGGCCTCTTAGCTGCTCCTCAGGTTGGACCCACTTCCCTCTCATTTCTTCTCCATTTCGATCATTTCCTAGATCGTATACTTTTTTCTCTCGTCTTTGGATGATTAAATTTTTTGGGGTCGATGCTTGTCGCACTTAGGGTTAACTTGGGCTGCCCGCGTTTGTTCCAACAGCGGGATGTTTGATAAAGCTGGGTACCTGACTAATTGTTGCTTATTGGAATTTGGGTTTTGAAGTATCTATTTTTCTCCCGCTCTTTGTGTGTGTGTTCTTGCTTTCATTACTGGGTATCTCTGTTTTGGCTTTTGTTATTGTGGGAAATACAACTTCAAAGTATGATTAAAACTTCTCTGCCTCACGGTGTCATTGTGGTGCATGATTAAGCGCCGCCTCAACTGGTTGGCCGACAGCAGGTCTTTGCCACCGTCATAGTAGGTCTTTTGTATTTGAAAAATGTGTGCCAATTTGCGTATCCTCTCTGGGAGAACGAATAAGAATTCATGTAGTGGTTATTTTCCAGTGTTTTCAATGTGTCAGTGGCCCTGCATCACTCTCTGTTCATACTATTTTCAGCTGCTTTAGTTAAGTTTGCATCACCCCCTGTAATCTGGGAGAATTAGCCTGCTGGTTTCATCTACTTACTTCAGGCTTAGCAAAGAAACTTTAAGCTTCTATTGCTTTGTCTTTCTGTATTTGCCCAACTAGATTTTTTTCCCCCCACAATGGTGTTGGTAGATACAGTACCAAAGTTTTTATCTTGATTGTTCGCCTTTTTCTCTTTTTCAATTATTTATTTTTGCAGATTGAACCAATTCCAAGTGGAAATCTGCCTCCTGGTTTTGATGCAAGTTCTTGCCGCAGTGTGTGAGTGTTTGCCTTGACTTTTTTTTCCCCTTTTTTATTTAATATCTTGTTTTTTCTCTTTATGATTATGGTGCAAAAAATCTTAGGTATTTGCTGCTTGATTTGTATATTAATTTACTCCACTTTAAATGATGGGGGCATTTTAATGCTGTTGTTTATTTCTTGAGTATATGCTTTTACTTCAAACCTACTTGATTGTAACAAAACGTTTCCTTTAATTACTGCAGTCTTTTTTCCCACTAAACTTGATTACTTGTGCCCTAATTTCTTTTGTTTCTTTTCTTTTTTTCTTTTTACAATTCTAGCTTCTTCATCTGTGAGAAAATGCAGGTATGTGGGGAATATTCATCCGCAGGTAACGGAGTCCTTACTTCAGGAACTTTTTGCAAGTAATGGCCCGGTTGAAGGTTGTAAACTTATTAGAAAGGAGAAAGTAAGTTTTAAAAATCTGACATGGTTTCTCTTGTTTAATCTGTTGTCTTGAAGTCCCAGCGAAGTGTTTATTTGACATTGTCGTGTTTCTATTGTACAGTCATCTTATGGATTCATTCACTATTTTGACCGTAGATCAGCTGCTCTTGCCATATTGTCTCTTAATGGGAGGCACCTGTAAGCCTTTCTCTTTACACATCTCTTGTTTATTATTTCTTCTCTGGTGAAAAGGTTAACCTGAATTGCTTCACAGGTTTGGTCAGCCTATCAAAGTCAACTGGGCCTATGCTAGTGGGCAAAGGGAGGATACATCAGGTTAGTTGTATAACCAATATTCTTACTTATATTGTTCATACGCTATGAACCTTTAGGAACTTAATTATTTTATGATGTGTGAATTTTACTTTTGCAGGTCATTACAACGTATTCGTTGGTGATCTTAGTCCAGAGGTTACTGATGCTACATTGTTTGCATGCTTTTCTGTTTACCCCAGTTGCTCGTAAGCTTCACATCTCTTTATGTATTCTTGCTAAAGATGCCATTGATTCTCTGCTCAAGATTGAATCAGTCTCTATTCAAAACAAACCGTTCATATAGCCAAATGCCATACTTGGGGCAAGGCATACTTTATAGTGGATAACTTAGCTGGTGTTTCAGCATGGATCACATTAATTTTTTTAATAATCTTTATGTCCATTTAGAGATGCAAGGGTTATGTGGGATCAGAAAACAGGACGATCAAGAGGGTTCGGATTTGTTTCATTTCGTAACCAACAGGTTTATTCCTGTTTTCTTTTGTTTTTGATTAAAATTATTTCCTCAGGTTTCATGTATTACAAGAATGTTCTTTGTACAATCTTTAACTTTTTCCGTTTACCTTTTTTTTTTTTAAAGGACGCACAAAGCGCTATTAATGATTTGACTGGTAAGAGATTCACCATTCATCTTCATGCTCGTTTACCTTTTGCAATTTTGTATTTCTGAGCCATTTTAGTATTTGGTCAATATTCTATTGCATCGTTTTTTGTCAACTTAGCAAAATTATGTTCCATCTCAAACGACTTCTAGGATCGTTTTTTTATGGATTGAATTGGTTTTTGACCTGGTCTTGTTCACTGGATGGCAATCAAGTATTGATTGGTCTTGTTTTTCAAAGATGGGAATTTTTTTGCAAGAATATTTTGTTGTTTCAAATTTTTTTTGTTGTTTGCAAAATGGGTAAAACTAAACTAATTCAAGTGTTTCCAGATGGAAAATTGTTTTGAGACTATTTTAGAAGTACCTCTCTTTTTATGCAGTTAATTTTGTGGCAGATAAATATTCATTCTCATCTTGCACTTCTGTTTGATGGCTGAGTAAAGATATGTAAACTTTGTCTGTCAGGCAAGTGGCTTGGTAGTAGACAAATACGCTGTAATTGGGCAACAAAAGGTGCTGGTTCTAGTGAGGACAAACAAGGTTCAGACACTAAAAGTGTGGTCGAACTAACAAATGGTTCATCTGGTGAGTAAATTACACTCTATCTTTGAAAAGTGCAATGGCAATAGACCAATCTATTTTTATATTGATTGCCTAAAATGTTTTCCTCTCATGGTGCAGAAGATGTTAAGGAGACGAATAACAGTGATGCCCCAGAGAACAATCCTCAGTATACAACCGTCTATGTGGGAAATCTTGCACCAGAGGCAAGAATCTGTTTTCATCATTTGTATGTTGGATTTAATGCAAACGTTGTTGACCATCCCCAATTCTGGGAATGGTCTAGTAGCTTCTGATGGCAACACAAGTGATGTTTCAAAGCGTTGCTGAAACTTATATTTTAGTGGTCACTGGTTTATTGCTTTTTCTGTTGGAATATCTTTCCTTTATGGCTACTAGTTTGGAAGTGTTAGTATAGTGTATTGGGCATTAGCCCCGGCCCAGATTTATGGTACT